CTTTAAGTAGTCAGACAAGTAGCTTACTTCTGTTTGAAGTAATGCGACAGGTTGCACTTAGGTACCGTTAAGGTGGCCGGGTGATGCTAGACTTAGATATTAGAGATATGTATGTAGTTACGAATGTAATTTCAAAAACTCAATAAAGTACTAGCGTGACTGCTTATAAAAAAAAAATAAAAAAATAAATATATATAATTATAAAATAACTATATAACTACTTTATAACTAATTGCAAGTAGTATTAAAGTTGCAAATTTAGCAAATTTTAGTAAAATACTGTATTAATGTATTAGTTTTAACCTGTATTAATATATTAGTTTTAACCAAAAATATCTAATTTAAAAAAACCATTTAATTTGTCTTCAAAATGGTTTTTAATAAGGATCCTTAGTTACAGGTGATTATTTGAACAGAAATCAAAACTTACAAACTAGAAATAATGATCGAGATTTTATTCCAATTCTTTTAAAAGTAAATTTTGACTATCCCCTCCACCAATTAGCAATCTTGCTACTGGGTGGTAATCAATCGAATTAATAGCAAGATTATTGAATCCACTTCCTAGTTTTCGAATTAATATTGAATCCCGCAATGAACCATGGTGCCTAAGGTTTTCGGCATGCGCATTAAAATCCATGATTCCAATCGTGCCGTCTTATTAAAACCAATAATTAATTAGACAGATCAACAAATTATTTATTTACACAATAATTCACATCAAAAACATACCCTCGGAACAGCTCAGAACTATCCCCGCACGAAAGGGATGGAAAATCAACTCATATACTATTAAAAAATGATGTTTAAATTAAATCTTTACAACCTTACACCAGCTAATGATATATACAGATATACGGCAATACCACTATTTTTATGCGGATGTGATTGTTTCTCTGGTCTTGACAGATTCCTAGTATCCCATATTGTCACAAAACCTTGAGAACTTCCTGAAACAATTTGGTGCACCTATAAAACGATTTTTAATTAAATATGTATACGAAAATTACGATATAATATACAATACTATCTGAAATATTTACCTGTGATGAATTAACCTTTAAACAATTCAGAGAATCCCTCGGATGAGCGGAACTGGATAATGACTAAAGTATTCATATGAACTCTTAAAGCAGAGACTTCAATAATATTATTCTATAAAAGTTCATACTCATAAAACTTAGCACACGGTTTGTTCGGATTTCTATAATCAAATATTCTTAGTTGCCCGGAACTCCCAGCAGTAATCTAACAAATTTAAAGTCAAAATAAGTGTAGACATTGTATATTTTAATGATATGCATACAGAGATATTTAATTACTATTCGATCCGAAGACGGCCACGAAACTGCTCTGAGACCAGATGCATCGGCATCATCTAAAGGGGGTCAAAAATATATAATTAAGAGAATAAATTCATATAAAAAAAAAAAAATGTTTTTTTATCAGGATTATTTACCTACTACTTGGTAATGATTTTGATCAGTAATTTTAAAAAGGACAAGTCTACCATCTTCTCCGACACTAGCAATTTCAGTATCTGGAGAACCGAAAGGCTTGATCGCCATGCCCGTAGCTGCAGCGCTTTTGTTCTCTGAGAAGCTATGCAGATGATGGGTTATAATCGGCTGCATTGTATAAGTATAATCTATGTGCGTTTCTATACCGAAATCTGTTTCATGCTCAGTCTGACGTTCGGACTTTAAAAGAATCGAGAAAGGATAAGGATAACGGATCACAAACAGAAAAAAAATAGATACATATAAGACTAATTTACCTTGATGCAATTGAAGACATTAAGACAACCTTTTGAGGATGACGTGAGCAAGAAACTATCGCCAATAAATTGCATATCCCTCACATCTCCCTTGTGATCTACCTTAGCGATAATTTTATTTTCGTATGAAAAAGGAACGAGATTGCGCAGACTGATTGGTATTTCTTCCAATTTCCATAACGTTAAAGCATTATTCTATGTAAGATAAACTAATTAGCAGTATTTAGAGAAGGCTTAAAAAAAGGAAGCGAGAGGCAATACCTTTTTTTCGTCCCAAGTACCTGTTGCGAATAACGTGATCCGACTATCGTATGCCTGTTGCGAAGCGGCAAACCGAACTTTTGAAAGCTTTCCATAAGCGTGTAGCGTGTATAAACTTTCCAAATCTGGCATAATTCAATCAATTTCTAATGAACAAAAATGCGACAAGCAAATTATTTATATATATCCTAGATACACGTGAATAAAAGTCCCTTTATTCAGGTATCAAATATCAATATCCAAAATTGCAAATCACACCACCGATGTTTAATACCATCTTAAAGGACTATCAAATTCATTATAATTAACAGTTTTTTCATTCTTTTTTTAAAAAACAAAGTACAATAAATTAATAAATACAGTAATTGTAGTGTTTTGAACACAGAAGTGTTATAATTTAATAATTTTAATAATTTCCCAAAAAAAAGGTTAATAAATTAAAGAATGATAATTGTAAAATATGATTTTATCGTTATCATATTTTTATCATAGTTTATACGGGGTATCTTTTGCGTCAAGTTCGATATTTATTCCAACTGCTGCGGATGATCGTTGGCCATCATTATCCTCAAACCCTACACTGCTTCCTCTACTAGCCTTACTCTCTCTATTTTCAAGAACCTTTTGTCCTTCGCTATATGTTCGAATCTCGCTGATAAGTTGCTTAAGCACGTTTTGCTCAGAGTTACCATAGAAAAATCCAACCAATCCCATAATTACACCATAAACTGCAATAGGTGCAATTGCCACGTTAATAATTATCTCCACCCAAAAATAAGTTGATATTGTTCCAACTGAAAACAAAATTTCTATGGCAATTAATCCAAACACCAATAATAGACAAATATAAAATAAAAACATCTGTATACGTGATGTGGTTAGTGATCTGCTCAAAGTCCTGTCGAGAAGTTCGATCATGTTTTTTATTGAGCGAGTATCCAATTCATGTAAAGTTTCATAAGGGCCTTGTTCCCAAACAGATAACGGAATAACAGAATTCTTGTCGCGTCCAACAAGTGTAAATGTAGCTTCAACACCAAAATGGTCGGAATAAGAATATCCCAGTTCCGGAATCTTTTCGGTGAAGACAACACGTGAACGACTGCACCAAAATCTCGATGTCTTTCGGTAAAATACATAGTCGATGCGAATACCATCATCCCGATTAGATGTCGCAGGTTTGAAAAAACACTTAGACCATGTATTAATTGGAGAGTCACAAGTAATACCTTTTCGGTTGATGGCAGCATTCGCATCGATTGCAGGTAAACCAACTTCTTGTTGGTTAATGGAATTGGTGGAAGCGCTAATCGGTGTATCAGAATTTTGAGATTGCCAAGAATCGGTCATCTGTCCATGTTGAGTGATAAGTTTATATGCAAGGGTATCTTGCTCGCTATTATAATCACCAACCTAAGGAAAAAAAGGAAGTTACGTGAATATCCATGACATTAATTACAAAATGAAATAAATTGTTAATAATTATTACCGCAATAACATTTCGTCCTCGTGAAGCTGAAATTTTCATTAAATTTGCGGCTTCCCAAGCTTGAGAAACTCTGTGTGCCAGATACTCATCATTTTTTTTAGCCTCGTAACTCGCATGAATCTAGTGATAATATTATTAATTATTACACATAATAACGCAAATAATATATGGGCTAGGTGCTGAGAAAAGGGACAAATTTGACAAAAAAACGATCCTCGGAAAATCTATTTTTATGTTATAAATCTTATAATAAAATGCAAAATTTTATTATTACAACTACTTTTGTGTCTTAAGTAAAAAACGATTCTAATCTTATTCTAAATTGACTTATGTAAAAAAAGTTCATTTGAAAAAATTGCCAATTTCGTCCTTTTTCAGCACCTAGCCCATATATGTGTATATTTATATATATATATCTTACGTGAGTGTTGAACACTTCGATTAACCCAGATACTGGATGGTCAACTACTGCACTAGTCAACCCTTTACCCACGTACCAATCACCATGAGTAAGCTTAATTGGGTGACCATTCAAACGATATTTGTGAAAATTGAATTCAACTATTGGATAACGCGAGAGAATGACAAGACCTCCGCCAAAAACACCACTAAATATCGCAAATTAAATATTCAATAAATGATAATTTTGTAAAATTAAAGTTTATGCGCTAATGTTGGTCACAACTTTGACATGAATTCTTGCCAATTATGTAAGCAAATCTGCATTGTTGATAAATTCTTACCTCAAGAACTAGATACGAAAATTTATACTTTACCTGTGGGTAAACTTTGCATGGGAGAACCGCTTTTTAGTCCTATTCCTGATTAATTCGTAATCGGTATACACCCACACTTCTTGTAAACAAACAATGTCATAATTTGAACATGCCAGGTTATCGGCAATGGCTTCCATACGTCTGTTTCGTTTCTTGGAAACAAACTTTAGACCCCTAAATATATGAACAATTTTAAAATGATAAAATGCGAATAAACCACGAAACTAATATTGGGGTTTCTCCAAAATACCAGCAATTTAGGGTAAGAACTGAAAGTGTTGTAGTACTTGAACTCATTACGCTTATTTTAATTTTCGAACGCTTATTTTATAGTCGTCAATTGAGTACAACATTTACGAAACATTCAAAACGAAAAGTTAAGCTCTAATAAAAGTTTTATACTTTTTATGTTGTGTATTCAAATAGTGCATATATACATATGCACATCTTATTCCAATAAGGAATTGGTGCTTACAATTCAATCGCGAATTTAAGAGAAAAAGTAAACGATAATCTGTCTGAACCGGATTTCATTATTAATTTCGGAAGAATTTATTAAATATCATTTAATTTAGCTAGTATTCCATATGAACCCTATGTTAACTTGTTATATAATTGCAACTTTCTTTTTTCTGTTTTGGTTTATAGTGTTTAAATTTAGTGTTCTCATGGTTCTCAAAGAACATTCAAAATTTTATAACACTAATATTTAAAATATAGGCTCTTATTTGAGAACATTTTATTTTCAGAAAATTATTCGATATAATGAACTAGTGCACCAAAAAGGGTCATTTGAGTCGAGTTTAGGGTAAACTCGAACCTAACTCAAGTAAATTTGGATGCATTTTGTTATTTATAGATTTGTATTATTGTTCGGAGCGAAGCGACGGACCCATACTTCTGTGCACTTTGATTACCGAAATTGCGATTTTGATGCTTTTATAACAGAAATATCAAAAACGTAGTTTCAGCATTTTTTGTCTGTAACGTTCTTGAAAATTTTGATCTGCGACATATAACCAGTTTCTTCAGGCACCGAGGGATTACCATTGTTGCAGGGTTGTAACCTTCTTAGTACAATACAATTAAGTAACAAGGTCATCTGGTACAAAAATTGACTATTGTAATTATATATGGAGTAAAAGTGGAATAGTTCACTTTACTACATAGCAGCAAGCAAATAGTAACAGTCAGCATTGGCACGGGACAGTTGTGGACATAGTTTGGATATTTGGGAACATTTTTTGGACAAATTAAAATTACTTAAAATTTTATTAAATTAATTTATTTTAATTTCTAAAAAAAAATATTTAGCATTATAAAAAATATATTTATTAATTTTTGAAACTTGTATATACTGTGAATATTTTTAAACATGTGAACATTTGAACATTGAATATAGTCTAAAAAGGTTTTGAACATAATAAATATAATAATATTGGTAACAGTATATAAATTAATTTTTTATTTTTTTATTTTTTGTTTAAAGATTATATTTTGTAGTAGTTATTTTATTAACATTTATTTATTTTATTTTTTGGTATTAAGATGATCTTTTTGGTCTTTTGATATTTATTAATGATTTTTTAGCAATATGATTTAATGAACCACTATAGGAGAGCATACAATTGGCTATACATATACTGTAACTTTTTTATATTACCTATTTAAGAAGTCTGTCTAAAGGTTCTCTACCAATTGTCATATCTAACACTCCTGCTTGGATGTTTTATTTTGAACCTTCTAAATCTGTAATTTGTATTAACTCACTAAATCATACCTAAATATCTAGAACATCATCTTAACCTTAGAACTATTTTATTCTTAAGTTAAATCTCTCAGAGCCTTTTGTATCTATTTTTACAATTAATCTAGGTATTGTTATGATAGAATCAACATTTGTAATTAGAACTTAATTATTAAACTGTTATGCTTTGGTAGAGTTTATTCAGACCTTAGCATCTACTTCACAGTATAACTTCAGTACATTAGTATATTTTTGAATTTTACTAGATTTCCAATCCAAATGGTCTATATAGAACTATAATCAGTTCATTAATATATTAGATTAGTTCAATATTTTTTTCTTTTAGTTTGTTCTAATAACTTGGTTGATAATATTTCTGAAACTCCCAATTTGAAGGTTCTTGTCTGTTTAATTACTAAGACTTTGGTATCCATTTCTTTGAACTAGTCTTTACAGTAGTATTGTCAAAGATCTGACTATCTTTCTATTTAGATCTTTTTAAATAGACTTCTTATTATCTAATTTCAATGAATTTATATAGTCACAAGAACTTATCTAGTGTTTATACTACTCAGTTGTTAGTTTGTATTTCTCCATATAATTCTAATATTATACAGATGCCTTATAACCTATCAGTCATGCTGGTGTGACTGTTATTATAGGTATTCTAATCCAATTATTAGTAACAGTTGCTATAATATGAATATTATATAGGTGATTATTCAAATTTTTACTATTAATAAGATTTGAATACCCAACCTACTATTTAAGAATTCAAATTAGTTTATTTAATATAATTTTTTATAAATTTAAATATAAAAAAGAATTACTATTAAGTTTATATATAATTTTAACTTTTAGTTATCTATTTATATAATTTATTCTAGATTGTTATACTAAATGTTGTATTTAATAATTTATTAAAAGAATATTTATTTTACCAAAAAAAAAAAGAATATTTATTTAAATTATCTAATTATTTATTTTGTTAATTATTTAATTACTACAAATTCTATATATTTAACTAGTATATTATTTGAATAATAAAATATCTTTTTTTTTGAATTAGTATCTAGATTATTATATATTTTAAAGTATGATACTTGTTAATAAAACTCAAAAAGTCTTTTTTGTTAATTATTTATTTACTTTACAGATTATTAATAAAGACTTATTTTTGTAAAATTTTATCTATATCTTAGTATCTACTTTATAGCATATTTTTAGTATTTTACTATACTTTTGTTTTGTTCTTAGATTTTTAATCCAAATAATTTAAAAAAAGTATAACTTATTTTTGATATATTAAATTTGATTTGATATTTTTTTTTAATTCAAACTTAACAGTCTAATTGGTAGTACTTCTTATTTAGAAATTCTTGTCTATTTGATTCTTTTATATTAGTATTTGTTTTTTAAGTTTAGTTTTTATAATAATAATATCAAAGATTTATGTTATCTCTTTATTTAGATTTTTTCTAAATTGGTTTTAGTTTTTTATAGTTTTATGAATTTATATAATTATAAAAATTTATTTTAGATTTGTATTACTTAATATTAGTTTGTATTTTTTTTATATAACTAAGATTATACAAATGCTCTATAATTAATAAAATGCTATTGTTATAATATTGTATAAATGATTATTCAAATTTTTATTATTAGTAAATTTTAAACTCACAACCTGTTACTAGAAGATTAACAACTTATTTACTTATATTTTAAAAATTATAACTAATTTTATATTAAATAATATAATTTAATATTATAAAATTTTTATTATAAGATATAATAACCTAGTGAAATGAATAGGTTGTTAACCCTTAAGTAGCAGATCTAAGCTTCAATTTTTATGAATGATAAATTTTAAAAATTATACTTGTATTATGATAACTGTTTCTTATTAATTAGTTAAGTTTTGAGCATCTGTAATCTTAGATATGCCAAGTTGGGTTCTATTTGATATTAAAAGCTTGGAGCATCTATATAAAATATAATATTATATATATATAGAAGAATATAAAAAACTGATGTTATATAAGGCTTTGGTGCAAACCTGTAATAAGACCACTAGGTATAAAAAGCTAAAAAACCAAGAAGATGAAAACCTATTTGGAAATCTTAAGTAATGAAATAGTACAAACTTTTAATAGTACCATTGGACTGATGAAAGCTCATGAAACATCTTCATAGAAACTGTTAAATAAATCAGATAACAAAGATATATAAAGGAACATATGACCAATCAGATCATCAGAATCACTAAAGAAAAAAGATATATAAGTATACTATACTAAACCATTTGAATTGGAAGTTTGGAAAGTTAGTTGGTTTCAAGTTGCAACTAGTAAAAGATAATAAAGAAGAAATCAAAAAGATGAATACTAAGGTTTGAATGAACTTTACAAGGATAATAGCAGTTTAATGAGTAATCTTAATTGTAAGTATTAGTCTTGGCCATAGCATCAAACTAGGTTAGCAGTAAAAGAGAATATAGTTCACTCTAGTAGGTTTGTCTTAAGAAAAAATAGTCTAAGAATTATAGTCCTATAGTTAAAAATGAATAGATTTGGGTCTGTAATTTGGTAAAATTAATACTAAAGTCAGATCAGAGGGTTTAAATAAAACATCTAAATAGAAGTGTTAAGTATGACAACTAATAGAGAACCTTCAGACAGACTTCTTAAATAAGTAATGTAGAAAAGTTACATATATAACTAGTTGTATGTTTGTTTAATAGTTCAATATAAATATGTTTGTATAAAACATATATTCAAGATAAGTTTTTTTTTTTTTTCAGTATTAAGATGACCTCTTTGGTCTTTTGACTTTATTAACATATTTTTAGGAATGTAGTTCCGTAAGAAGCTACTACAGGAAGAGTGTACAATTGGCCACTCATGTAACTTTCTATATTACCTATTTAAGAAGTCCACCTAATGTTCTTCATCAATTGCTATACTTAACACCCCTGCTTGAATGTTCTATTTAAACCCTTTGAACCTGTCCCATGTTACTTCACCAGGTCAAGTCTGGATCCTTCGTCTCAACCTTAGGACAGTTATCCTCAAGGTAAACCTTCCAGAGTCTGCTGTTTACCCATTTTTGCAGCTAACCTAGATATCGCTATGGCAGAACCAACACTTGCAGTTAGAACTAACCATTAAACTGCTATGCCCTTGTAGAGTTCACACAGACCCCAGTACCTACTTCACAGCATATCCCTAGTACTT